TTTCATACATGGTGAAATTGGTGCATGGAGTAAGTGAAAATGATTATGAAATGGGTGCATGAGAAAATGAGTACAACATGAAATGGGTGCGTGGACAATCTCATAGGACAAGTGAAACATGGTGCATGATGAATAGAGTGATGAATTTACCATAATATGGTGCAGGATAAAGATGTGGTTGGGTTTACCATTTTGCCCTTCTCGCTATTATAAAATAAAATTTTTAATATGTATTTTGTTAATTTTCTAAAATAAATTAAACTAATCTTCACCGTTGATCAAGAAAATGGATGGATGAGATTGGTTTACATGGTTTACACAGATACAGAAAACAACATATGTTTACCCTTTATCATAACTCTTAGGAACAACAAAATCACAAATGCAGCGTTTTACCTAAAAGCACATTTCACAACCATTTGTCGCTTATTAAAACTTTTAGGCACGATAATATCATAAACAGTTGTTTGATTGATATAAACGTAACAAAAGTCCGACCTGCAAACATATACACGAATCACGGTTGTCTTAGATTATAACTTTTGGGAAAGACAACGGTGGTGATAGATTTGAAGTTATGTTTGTGTTGAAGTAAGCAATATGCACGTCCACATCAAATGTATGATCTGAGAATCTTCCCTTTTTAATTATGTGAGTTTGCGTCAATATGATGGCTGCAAAGAACATCAACCCAAGTGGTACACAACCACATCAACAAACCCAGTTTTTTTACATGACACTGAAGCCGTTGAATTTGATCAGTTATTATAAGGTTTTAAGGATATGATCATGAAATGTGTATTGAGATATTGCCTTTAATAAATATGTGTCTAGAGAAAAATGGCAAATTGTATGAAAATGCAACGTATTTTGGTCTTATCCAAGCTCGAACTCAACTCGAAAACTCGCGAGTAGTAAAAATCAAAACTCAACTCGAATTCAAACTCGAAACAACTCAAATCAAGCTTGACTCGAACTCGAGCTCGAACCAAGCTCACCTATTGAAATTTATGAAATTTTAGGATTTTTCTCTTATAAATTTTAAAAGTTAAAGATGTTTTCTTAGTTTTTATAAAACTAAAGCGATCAACTTCAAACTTCATAATCAAAAAGACAAAGTTAGAAATTTCATTCATCTCTCTCTCTTTTTATAACATTTTTTCTCTCTTCATTTACCGTCTCTCTTCCAATGTGGGACAATATCACTAACTTTTTAATAGTTTTTCTTTGTCTTTTTTTTTTTATTGTGATTTTAATAAAAAAAATTGATTAAGTTTTATAATTAAAAAATGCATAATTTTGTTTAAATATCTAAAAATATAAGACATTTATATTATTTATATTTTACAAATTTTATCATAAAAACTTATTATATTTTAAAACTAATTATATACAAAATAATCGAGTATCTCACAAGTTTTTTGAGTCGAGTATTGGGTAGCTTGATTCGATTCGTTAATATATCGAGTCGAGTTCGAGCCGAACCTGTTCGAGTCGAGTGTTGACCGAGTCAATCTCGAGTAGCTCGCGAGTTATCTCATATCGTTTACACTCGTAAGTTTCAAAAGTTCTTTTTGCAAAAAAAAAAAACGAAACTCGAACCTAAAAGAAATACGCCATATGATGTGTTTATTTGCTATTGGTTCTATCGGATAGACACACACACATATATACCTTGGTCGCGTTAATGTGATTAGATAATTTTTTTTTGAAGTATATATAATATTTATATACGACAAATAAAACAAATAAACTCACACACCTTTCTCACCTTTGGTGAGATTTTGAACCCTTGACCTCCTAGAAAGCCAATGACTCACATACCGCTAGAGCAAAGGCCCTTTGGTAATTGTGATTAGATATTTCTGGCACCTCTTGTAAGTTAATTGTCTTTTCGTTTGATCCTCCTTATATATGTGTGTGTAGATGACAAATCAGATATAAATCATACAGACCAATCAATTAAGATAACTATGGATATGATGAAGATTCATTTATTATGACATAAATATTTATGTAAAATTATCAGCGTCTAGTAATTATGATCAACACTTTATATTATGAAGCAATAGATATATATATATATATATATATATATATTTATTTATGAAACCAGATATTTATTAGACTAGATGTATGATTGGGATTGGTTTATATGGCTTGTAACTTTTTCATGGTTTTTATTTGATCTGTTCTATATATACATATATGATTAGGAAGTAGGAACCGTGAGAAATATCAGTTTTAATGAAACAGATAATATATGTGAAGATAACATTATACTGTGTAAAGACGTGTGGAATGACGGCATTCACAGAAACTAATGAAAGGTCAGTGGTGGATCCAGAAATTTTAGTGATGGGGGTCGGAATTGAAGTAACAGTCACGTGTCCACATGGTTGACAATGACCTCTGC